CACTACTTGCAAATGAACCTCCGCCGAAGGCCAACCACCCCTGCTGATCTCTGCGCAGATGTTGGGCGCCCGAGCAGCGACGTCAGACGCAGAATGGATGCCCCGACCTGAGGCGCCGTTCAGCTATTCCCTGAACACAGACATCTGGGGCTGGGCGAAATCTGCTGAAATCCATCAAAAACTCAAGGTTCCGCCCGGTGAGCCATTGCGGCCAGCATGTCTCAACTAGACCCCGACTAACCAGAGAACCGACTTCGTGTCGCGCAAAAACACGAGAGTTCAAGATACATACCCGAGAGAACCTGCCAGCAATCATACGCAACTGGAAGACCGAGCCACTTGCTGCATCTACCCAAGCATTACTTTCCCAAGTAGTTTCAGGCTGCCAAACACACGTAGTCCCCTATCTGTCCCGTGCCCTTGAGGGATCCGCGAAAAATCCGCAGTGTTTCAGGGCAGAGGGCTTTTGTTCCGCACCGTAAACAAATGAGTTTGAGAAACACCTGGGAAACTAGTCTGAAATTAACCCGGCAGTGAGCGAAGGTCCGTTTTGGGCTGCATCCCGCCAACTTGGTACATAAAACATCTGGCAACTGATCCGTGGCCCCATCGGTATAGCAAAAAGGAGGGTGGGAGCATCTGGCAAGTCATCCGTGGCCCCATCGGCATGGTAAAAAGGGGTGGGAACATCTGGCCCTCTCAGGCAGCTCGTTGTGGGCGGGAGGAGAGCGGGAACCCCGGGCCCTCCCACCGCCCACCTGAGGGCGGAAAGAGGGAAAAAGCGACAAGGGAACAGGAAACACCGGGCCCTCCCAACGCCCACCTGAGGGTGGAAGGAGGGAAAAGCGAAAAGAATGGAACAGGAGAAAGGGGGAGGAAAAAAATGGGCCCCCCCAACGCCCACCTGAGGGCGGAAGGAGGGAAAAGCGAAAAGGGGGAGGAAACAACGGGCCCTCCCAACGCCCACCTGAGGGCGGAAGGAGGGAAAAAGCGAAAAGGGAAAGGGAAACAGGAAACACCGGGCCCTCCCAACGCCCACCTGAGGGCGGAAGGAGGGAAAAAGCGACAAGGCAACAGGAAACACCGGGCCCTCCCAACGCCCACCTGAGGGCGGAAGGAGGGAAAAAGCGACAAGGGAAAGGGAAACAGGAAACACCGGGCCCTCCCAACGCCCACCTGAGGGCGGAAGGAGGGAAAAAGCGACAAGGGAAAGGGAAACAGGAAACACCGGGCCCGCCCACCTGAGGGCGGAAGGAGGGAAAAAGCGACAAGGGAACAGGAAACACCGGGCCCTCCCAACGCCCACCTGAGGGCGGAAGGAGGGGAAAAGCGAAAAGGGGGAACAAAAATGGGCCACCTGAGGGCGGAAGGAGGGAAAAGCGAAAAGGGGGAGGAAACAACGCACCTGAGGGCGGAAGGAGGGAAAAGCGAAAAGGGGGAGGAAACAACGGGCCCCAACGCCCACCTGAGGGCGGAAGGAAGGAAAAAGCGAAAAGGGAAAAGGGGAAACAGGAAACACCGGGGGCCCTCCCAACGCCCACCTGAGGGCGGAAGGAGGGAAAAAGCGACAAGGGAAAGGGAAACAGGAAACACCGGGCCCTCCCAACGCCCACCTGAGGGCGGAAGGAGGGAAAAAGCGACAAGGGAAAGGGAAACAGGAAACACCGGGCCCTCCCAACGCCCACCTGAGGGCGGAAGGAGGGAAAAAGCGACAAGGGAACAGGAAACACCGGGCCCTCCCAACGGAAGGAGGGGAAAAGCGAAAAGGGGGAACAAAAATGGGCCCTCCCAACGCCCACCTGAGGGCGGAAGGAGGGAAAAGCGAAAAGGGGGAGGAAACAACGCATCTGAGGGCGGAAGGGAAAAGCGAAAAGGGGGAGGAAACAACGGGCCCCAACGCCCACCTGAGGGCGGAAGGAGGGAAAAAGCGAAAAGGGAAAGGGGAAACAGGAAACACCGGGCCCTCCCAACGCCCACCTGAGGGCGGAAGGAGGGAAACCCAAGGGCGGAAGGAGGGAAAAGGGGGGGAAGGGGAACAGGGAACACCGGGCCCTCCCAACGCCCACCTGAGGGTGGAGGGAGGAAAAAAGGAAAAGGTGGAACCAACAAAGACAAAAACAAAACAAACACAAAAACAAAAGAAACAACGGAACCCCCACTCTTTGAGTTCTGGGCATCATGTTTCGAGACACGCACACGCCGACCAATCTGCTGACTTCTCTTGGGCGTACAAGCACTTCGTCCGCACGCATTGCTCTTTAGCCCATTTGCTTAAGGCCCCTAGAAGAAAAGCGAGAGACCAAACCACGCAGAAAGAGCCCTTCCGAAAACAAGGAGTGGGAACATCCTGTAACTGATCCGTGGGCCCCATCGAAATGGCAAAAAAGGGGGGAAGGCTTGCAAAAACACCCGCGGTGAGTTTCAGGCAGGGCTTCAGAGGGTTTCAGGGGGGTCCCCAACCACCAAAAAAAATGGAATCTCAAGCTCCGATCCCAGAAGAAAGGTTCCCACACTACTTGCAAATGAACCTCCGCCGAAGGCCAACCACCCGCCTTGCTGATCTCTGCCCAGATGTTGGGCGCCCGAGCAGCGACGTCAGACGCAGAATGGATGCCTCGACCTGTGGCGCCGTTCAGCTATTCCCTGAACACAGACATCCATGGGGCTGGGCGAAATCTGCTGAAATCCATCAAAAACTCAAGGTTCCGCCCGGTGAGCCATTGCGGCCAGCATGATCATATTACGCTTGTCTCAACTAGACCCCGACTAACCAGAGAACAGAGTCATTGACTTCGTGTCGCGCAAAAACACGAGAGTTCAAGATACATACCCGAGAGAACCTGCCAGCAACCATACGCAACTGGAAGACCGAGCCACTTGCTGCATCGACCCAAGCATTACTTTCCCAAGTAGTTTCAGGCTGCCAAACACACGTAGTCCCCTATCTGTCCCGTGCCCTTGAGGGATCCGCGAAAAATCCGCATTGTTTCAGGGCAGAGGGCTTTTGTTCCACACCGTAAATAAATGAGTTTGTGGGAAACCAGTCTGAAACATGCCTGAGCCACACACACACACACACCAGGCCTCTAGGCCTGCTGAAAGAAAACATCCGAATGCTAGCTCCAATCAGAAGTCCGCGCTGCTTGTCTGAAATTACCCCGGCAGTGAGCGAAGGTCCGTTTTGGGCTGCATCCCGCCAACTTGGTACATAAAACATCTGGCAACTGATCCGTGGCCCCATCGGCATAGCAAAAAGGGAGGGAGCATCTGGCAACTCATCCGTGGCCCCATCGGTATGGTAAAAAGGGGGTGGGAACATCTGGCAACTGATCCGTTGCCCCGTCGATATGGTAAACAAGGAGTGGGAACATCCTGTAACTGATCCGTGGGCCCCATCGAAATGGCAAAAAAGGGGGGAAGGCTTGCAAAAACACCCGCGGTGAGTTTCAGGCAGGGCTTCAGACAATTTCAGGGGGGTCCCCAAACACCAAAAAAATGGAATCTCAAGCTCCGATCCCAGAAGAAAGGTTCCCACACTACTTGCAAATGAACCTCCGCCGAAGGCCAACCACCCCCTTGCTGATCTCTGCCCAGATGTTGGGCGCCCGAGCAGCGACGTCAGACGCAGAATGGATGCCTCGACCTGTGGCGCCGTTCAGCTATTCCCTGAACACAGACATCCATGGGGCTGGGCGAAATCTGCTGAAATCCATCAAAAACTCAAGGTTCCGCCCGGTGAGCCATTGCGGCCAGCATGATCATATTACGCTTGTCTCAACTAGACCCCGACTAACCAGAGAACAGAGTCATTGACTTCGTGTCGCGCAAAAACACGAGAATTCAAGATACATACCCGAGATAACCTGCCAGCAATCATACGCAACTGGAAGACCGAGCCACTTGCTGCATCTACCCAAGCATTACTTTCCCAAGTAGTTTCAGGCTGCCAAACACACGTAGTCCCCTATCTGTCCCGTGCCCTTGAGGGATCCGCGAAAAATCCGCATTGTTTCAGGGCAGAGGGCTTTTGTTCCACACCGTAAATAAATGAGTTTGAGAAACACCTGGGAAACTAGTCTGAAACATGCCTGAACCACACACACACACACCAGGCCTCTGGGAAAGTCTGAAACATGCCTGAACCACACACACACACCAGGCCTCCCTGCTGAAAGAAAACATCCGAATGCTAGCTGCCAAAAGAAGTCCGCGCTGCTTGTCTGAAATTACCCCGGCAGTGAGCGAAGGTCCGTTTTGGGCTGCATCCCGCCAACTTGGTACATAAAACATCTGGCAACTGATCCGTGGCCCCATCGGTATAGCAAAAAGGGAGGGAACATCTGGCAACTCATCCGTGGCCCCATCGGTATGGTAAAAAGGGGTGGGAACATCTGGCAACTGATCCGTTGCCCCGTCGATATGGTAAACAAGGAGTGGGAACATCTGGTAACTGATCCGTGGCCCCATTGAAAGAGCAAAAAGGGGGGAAGGCTTGCAAAACCACCCGCGATGAGTCTTCAGGCAGGGTTACCAACCAAAGAAAATGGAGTCTCAAGCTCCCAGAAGAAAGGTTGCACATCGCCGCTCCAGAACTGATGGCTGCGCAATTGCTTTTTTTGCCGGCTACCGCTCGCCGCATTGCAGTAAGCGCAATCAGGAGCGCCCCCATCTATGATTGCTGTCACAATGCCACCCACCCCAGCCAGCAGAGGCAGATGTCTCATCTGCCCCGCAGGACAAACATCTCGAATGTTTCTGAGACGAACCCACTCTTCAGAACCTGTTGGAGGGCCCCAGCAAGTCTAAGCCCAAAACGGTTTATGGGGCCTCTGAAACAAGTCTGACAAGGGTCTGATCTAGGCCTTGAGTGAGTTGGTGCTGTTGGGTCCCCCTGAGCCCTCATGGCAGGCTTTCGGATCCCCGGTCCCAGAGCCAGATGCCTCCCTCGGTCATCACTCACGCTCCTTGTTTTGGCTTCAACATCTGAGCAGTGTCCAGACCTAGATGTCTTCTTTGGATGGCAGCTCCACTTTCAGCTCGCTGCAGCAGTGCCTGAGCTCATCCCAGGGCACTGTCTTGCCAGCAAGAGCCTTTGGATGATCGAGCTTCACTCCATGCTTCGCATGAGCGGCAAGCATCCGAACGCCTGCCTGCAGCTTGTGTCTCTTTGCTGCGTGCTTGAGGAGCATGTGAATGTCAAACCGGGTCAGGGCCGCTCCAACACCTGGCCAAGCCGTGCTGCCTGAGCCAGCTGCAGGCTGGGGCTCAGTTGATGAACCAGCCGGGGGACCAGGCTGCGCGCTCTCAGGTCCATCTGGCTCGGGAGAAGCGTCACCTTGCCGGATCCCCAAGATTAAGAACACAGATCAAATTACGTGGCGGATTTGCCTGTGCAGAAACTGCCATGTAACCCTGTCAAGCTGCCCATTGGCTGCCACTCCTACCTACTTTGTCATGAGCCAGGCCTGCTTCGTGCGCCGCTGCGTGCGCCACTGCGTGCGCAACTGCTTGGCTTGCGCAGCTGTCAGCGCTGTCGCTGGAGGAAGTGCTGGATGTGGATGAGGATGAGTCTGAGTCTGACCCGGATGCGTCTTCTTCGAAGGGCGCAGGCGCTTGCCAGCTCTTTTGGATGCTCTCCTCGAGGCCTGGTGCAAGCATGCCGTGTTTTAGACATGGCCAAGCAATTCAGGCTAGATCCCGTCAGCTTCTTGTTGCAAGCTGCAGAGAGTCACTGCTGACACAGTCAAAGCTTCAAAGTGACCGTACATGCGACCCTGCTAACCCACCAGCAACACGGCTTAGTTTCGAGACATTGAGTTCTTTTTCTATTCAAATTTGGCACCTCCCTGCCTTCCCAGCACTGGTATGGCTGAACAGCAAAGACTGGATTGCTCTCCACAGTGACGCGGTCATCCCCAACGCCGTCCAGTCTGATCAATAGCCCGCTGCATTGGCAGCAGTTTGCGTGAGCTGCAGCCTTTTCATGGCAATAATGTCTCCACAGATCGCCCACCCAATGCGTGCACCAAATCCGCCGGTCCTTGGCAGACAGGTGCTGGAAGGACTTGAAGTCCTCCAAAGATCTGTGAAGCTGCATCTGGTGGAACAGGTCCTTGTGGGTCTTGCCAATATGCCGGTCGATGGCCTGCCAACAATGCGTCCCGTTGGGCTCCCCATGCAAGACCGTAGTGCCGATTTTGGCCATCTCCTCCCGCCATGCGTGGGTGCAGTGTGCGGCGACATTGTCGCAAGTCAGCAGTACCGCTTTGCCCGCGTGGTTGGCTCAAACATGCTCCTTCCAGCACTGCGTCCAAAACTGGTTTGCATCTTCATTGAGATAGCCCTTTGGCGTGAAGAAGACTTTCACATCCTTGTCGTAAGAGGCCCGCTCAAGCTGTGAAATGTTGCCGGCTCCGAAGAAATAAAGCACCGGGGGCGGCTGCGCCTGCTTCAAATCTCCCGCGTAGCACATGTCCCATGTGAAAAACCTCTTCTCCCATCCGGCCTTGCCGGTCACAACTTGAACGCAGCCGGTGGTCCGCTCCTCAGGGCTGGCCCACGTGCGCCCTGCCGCAGTGTAGTCAAAACTGAACCCGACTTGGTCTCTGTTGAACCGCTCCCCAGGCGAAAAGAACCCCCATGCGTCTGACCAGGTGTTGTCACCGCAGCTAGGCTGCTTCTGAGCCATGTGCCGCAGCTTGTCCAGCCAGCGCTGCATGAGGGCACTGTCCTGTGCGGGCGTTGAGCCTCTCTTCTTCGTCGGCTTTCGCGGCTTCCAGCCACGGACCTGCAGCCAGGACTTAACCCAGGTCATCTTGGGCCTCCACACTTCACCGCCCCTCCTGGCAGCCAAAATGTCTTCCAGCCCCAATACAACCCTAGCATGTTCAGCGGGGCCAATGGACCAAACATAGTTGCAAGAGAGCAACAAACATAATGGAATTAGTTGGACCATGCGCTAGCCATGCATGACTGGATTCCCTTCAGCCAAGACAAGGCTGCTCAACCACAATTTCCCGCGCCTGTTCCGCGGCCACTGCAGGTTCCTTCCTTCTCTTGTCTTGTCCACCTTGTCGTATATGCTCTCAGCCATGGCGAGAACAGTGACGGAATTCGCTGGGCGGCCAGCTTTGCGATGCTTTTTCAGAGCTCTGCAAAGGTGCTGGTCAAATTCCTGCACCAAGGGGTTCTGCCTGAACCAGCCCCTACGGGTTCGAGCCAACTTGGTCGCAGTTCCCTTGGCAGCCTGCTCGACCAGCTTGTCGTAGTTGCGAGACCACCCGTACACAGTGTTGTACGAATACTGTGTGCCAGTGGCATTTCCCTTCTTGTCTTTGGGTGGCGTGCCGCTCAGCTTGCAAGCCCGCCAGGTGTCGACTGCATCCACTTGCTGCTTGGCTGAAACGCGCTGTCTCCTCAGGGCAGGGCAATCAGCAGGGACTGCAACGAACTTGAACAAACAAGGCTCGCCAAATCGCTCCCACTAAGTCCTGTTTGCGCCACGCGTCTGCTTGATGGCGCCCGTCTTGGTGCGCTTCTTCGGTGTCTCCAGCGGCTCATCCTCCTCCGCCGCCTCCTCTTCAAGAAGCTCAGGCAGATTGGCTTCTTCAGCATGCTCGAAGGAAATCAAGTGTTCGAACTGCTCGGGCAAGTCTTGCTCTTGCACTTCTTCTGCAAAGAAGCTCTGGATCAGCGCGCCGGGGCGCTGTGGCAGCGCGCGCGCAGGCTCCTTGCGAACCCCGTGCTTCCACCAGGCATGGCTGATCAAGGCCTGCTCTGACTTGAAACCACCTCTGCAAAGATCGCACTGCCAGGGCTGCGCGCACGCAGATCGGCCACCGAAGAGCGTGGTCTGGATCATCTGAAACTTGAGCTGGCAGCACACCGCAACACTGCCATGCGAAAGAGGAATGCCTTTAGCTCTCTGGGATCCCTCAGCCAAAAAACTGCATGTAGGCCACACAGCTTCTCTGTCCCAGACACACACGCATACAGAAATACACTGTGGCCAACCACTATGGCAGAAGCACAACAATTGGCCGGATGACCACCCTCCCCCACGCCCCCCAATGAACTGATTTCAGACTGGTTTCAGACTGGGCTCAGACCTCGTTTTTGGCTACTATAAGTGGTTCCCTCTAAATCTGCAATACGAAGCTAAGACCCCCACAAAATTTACCTCCCAGAGTCTCAGAAAACCTCACATTTCTTCATTCCACCGCAGGGTTTGGAAATTTGCGAGACTCTCGACAGTGAAAAGGGATTTCTTATCACACAGCATGACCGTAAGCGCTCAGGAACTATCTGGAAAGAGCGGAGGGGTTTGAGGGGTCCAACGGGCCCAGATTCGAAACCTCGTGGCTGCGACGAGCGCGTCCCGTCTGCCCGGCCTGCGTGGCCGTGAAGAGCTTGTGCCGCAGCCGCAGCAGCCCGGCGCAGGCACTTCACGGGCGCCCGTTTCTTAAATCTAGACCCTGAACAAAATATAGATTTCTTACCGAGGACCCTCCGTAAGAAATTCCCGAGCCCCTGCCTAAGAATACAACATTTCTTAACATAACGCTCAGCCGTACTGGCAATTAAACCCCACTTTTGGTGGGCCAGCTGGACAAGGTGGTGTTTGACACTGGCGGCCAATGCTCTGCCCAGAGAATGACCCCCTACCAATCATCAATGGATGCCCGCGGGGAAAGGTTTTTCTACAGAAAATCCTCAAGAGTGGGCACTCGGCGACCAACCTAGACAGAACTTGGCGCAACAGAGGTTCGCTATAACAGTGTGAATATTCTTCCCAGATATCTCTCCTTTTGATAAGAAAGGCCAAAAAGCAGGGGGATTGTTAGTACTTGTTTGCTCTCAGACCCGCGCCTGCGTGGACTCTGCAAAGCCCAGGCGTCCTTGGCGAGGCAAAACGAGCTTAGACAAATCATGGCGTAAACGGCTGTGGTAATCTTGACGTCGGACACAAAAACACCAGGCCGATAGGTGTGTGCCCCCAAGTGAGGAGGGTCGTTGTAACTTGGGGCATTGACCCCAAAAGCAAACCCTGCTCCTGAAAGCTGGATATCACTCTCATGTTGTTGGCCCGAGGAGTCCGATGACTTCTCATCTCGCTCTTGTGTGAAGTCTTATCTTGCCATGTTGGCCCCATTCTGAAGTGCATCATCTGGGTCCTTGGTGTATGTATGATATATATATATATATACTATATATACGACTCATTTCAGCGCCAGTCAGATTCTCAGGTTGGCATTAATTTGCTCACAAGCATATGACAAGGGTTCTGTCGTTTGTTTGGGGAGGCGAGTTTCTCAGGCTTGTGCATGAAACCTGAGCTGGGGTTCAGGGCTTGGAGTGTGAGCTGCTCCCATCATGGCTGTCCCAAATCGCAGGGCTCCTAAGTGTGACAGCACAAGGGACACCACCATCTGCCACAAGGATCAAGCACGGATTTTGAGCAACCCACATGTCGCCCAAGTTTGCAAAGGGGGGTCTCCTCAGGGCGGCAGCTTGATGCCCTGGGGTGGGGACGAAAGTTTGAGCCAAAACAAGCAACATTTACTTGTCAAGCACGTCTCACCCATTCCTGCAAAACAATATTAGATGAATTGGAATTGGGTTTTCTATTGTAGCAAGTGCTTCTCCTAATTCAGGATCCTGTGACTGTTTTGGGGTGCAACATACAAGAAACCATGCACAAATCTCTTGTCTTATGCCACGCCTGAGTACCAATGTACATGTCCATCCGTGGCCACCAGCACTTTGAGGGTCTGTCCAACGCGCACCCAAGGCACAAATGGGAATTGTTAAACTAGGGGACCGCATAATTCGTTGTCTGTGTTGGTTTCCCGTTGAATCCTAAGGGGTCCCCCAATTTTGTGAAGACCCCCAAGTATGTGTATGCTTGTCATTCGGAGGCCAACATGATGTGCTCCTTTGCACACATCATCAAGGCCATCATGATCAAGCGATCTCTACGCAACGGAACAGGCTTCGAAGCTTCACGACATGCTTCGAGGACTCAGAAATCGCCAAACACAAAACCAGCGTGTTTGCGCCGACGGCACCAAAAGCAGCAGGGTACCACCATGAACACAAGACAAACCAAATTTGCATAACCAGAACAAGAATGCAGAAGGGGCTTGGGGGGGTATGGCGAACCACGGTGGCCGCATAGCCCGCATAGAGGCAATCATGTCCATACAGCTTCTCACACACTCAGCAAGTTGCGGTCTGGGTTTCTCAAATTCGTCGGGCTGCACTCTTTTCTTCACCGGGTGTTAAATAAGAATGCTGGAATTTATAATTTCCTTGTGAGTTCCTTTTGGGAAAGCTAAAGCAAACATGCTCTTCAGCACCCAGTCACCACTTTTGCCAAAGATCTCTGGATCGCATGTAGCCTCTCGTGCCGTTCTGCAGCCGCCAGGTCAACGCTGGAAGGCGCTGCGGGCGATCGTTCGACTGGGGCCTTGGCCTGCACGAATCAAAGAGATGAACTCTGCATGAGGGATGTGGCTGTGGGTCAATCCAAATCGTACCCCCAGTGAACATCCCAATCCCCACTAAAATAGGTTCTAAAATGGGTGGTGCACCTACCCCAAAATGGTACCATTGGTTTTGACCCACAGCCATGTGAAAAACACGTGTGAGTACTTTCAGAGGTTGTCCAAACTTCTTGAGAGGGCAATTAGGGTCCACCTGCGACAACTTTGAAGCTGACAAGATGACTTCTGCTGCCAGGAGGATTTTCAGTCGGCACTGAATCTGTGGGATTGCCAGTGACGCAAGGCTTTTCTTGAGAGTACCCTTTCTGGGCTTTGCACAGACCATTTTCATGGCTCTGCCTACTTTGAACGAGGCTATCGCTTTGTCGCCAAACTCGGACCCTGGTTGCAAGGAAACTCGGCGGGTCCAAAGCCCACTTGGATAACCAAACACTGAATCCGAATAAGGAGCCCGGCCGATGCTCCCTCTTTGCCCACCAACCGCCAAGAGGCACCGCGACTATCGCAGCAAAAAAAAACATTGACTTGTCTCTAAATTTCTGGGATCCCCCCAAAACAAAACCGATGACAAGTGAACTTCAGGCTTCCCATAAAAGCAGCCCATTTCTCAGAAAAGGCACCCCCAAAACACAAAACCCCTTATCCCCATTGCCCAGCTTTGGAAAATGGGAGGCACTTGTTTGGGTTCACCATTCAAATTGGGGAAGCCGCCAAGCAAAAAGGGACAAAGAGTGCCACTAAATAGTTTGAATATATTGGGAGCCCCAAATGGGTTCCAACAAATGGGTTCCTTTCGGGTGCTTCGCACATGATTGTCCCTTGGCGCAAGCTGCAACCTGTTTATTAAAACAACCACGCAGCGCTCAAAACTACTTGACTTCTGGCTCAACGAACATGCTTACAAAGATTGAACATATTTTATAATAACCTCAAGTCAGCCCGACGAGAACCACCTACCACAAGGCCATACATAAGTGTTCATTCCTCAGGGAAATGGTACGTCCTCGCTTACGTGACACTCACAATTTGGTGAATGCATATTTACCAGATATTGGCATTGAACTCAGCGGCATCTGAGGCTGTCAATCCTTCAGGAATAGATCCAGGGCTCAATGTGCCATGGCATTGGCTATTCATGTTGCAAGAGCAAGCCAAGCTTGCAAATAGTTCTATGACTTGAGGGCGCAAATGAGAATGCAACCGGCCCTACGTATTTCACATCTGCAATGACAGCAAGTGGAAACTCGCGTAATCAAACTCATCGGCGTCAAATGGGGTAGACATGCGCGTGAAATTGGCCATTAAAGGCTTTGGGCTTTAGGCTGGCCGCGCCCGCCTCTCGCAGTGACGCAAGTCCGAGGCCTGAGGCGAAAAAGCTTCGCCCGGCGCTCCGTTCGCTTGGTATCAGACTGTTCCTGCCACTCTCCAAACCACCTCTAGTTTTGGTCTATCATGTATCCTCCAACGAGGTGTCTGTTGGTGGTGGTGTGTCTGGAGACAGGAGGGCTTGACAATTGAGCTACCCGGGCAACAACTCAACATCACATGCAAGCCTCTAAAACCGCTTGCAAAAACAATGAATCATCTAGATGGGGGCAAGATCAAGAGACGCCTTGCGCCGTCAAACCTTTTCAACCAAAGAACATGTTACAGGGCTCAGGGCCAAGCGGAACATGGCACGAAACTTTTGCAGGGGTGCGTTTATCAAGGCACACACGCACACACGCACATGCAGATTGTCTTGAATTTTGGACGTGCGAAACAGTGGGGTCAAGTCACGGGTGGTGGCCTGCAACGATGTTCCTCTTGATTCAGAGGCTGGCTTGATGCTATTTCGCCCAGGTAAGCACAAACATCGGACGTTGAAGTTTCCATATTGCTTGCAAGGGGGATTTTGGTTTATTTGCACG